TTCAACTCTCGTAACAATTCATTTTTAAAAAGGGCAGATGAAAACCTGCTGAGAACACTCTATGCTTTAGTAAAACCTCATCTCACCCCGCATCACAGCCATCGCAGAGCAAGAGTCGGTCCTCGCGGTCACTGCCCCCACACACCTCACAGTTGGTCTGCTCCAGGTCCAAGTCTACCACTTCCTCCTGACCTGCCTTCACAGGCTTCTGAACCGTGACCTGATCACAGAATTATCCCACGTGATACTAAAGGAAAATCTCAGTCATTTAACTTTTCAAAGTTTGTGTACAAGGAACCATACTTACAATTTTCTTTACTTTTCCTCCATAAGATTTCCTCAGATATATGTTGTCAAAGACAATGCGGTCCACAGGACATGAGTTTGCATTCTGAAAGGGGGAGTAAATAAAATGTCATGTTTCCTAACATGTTTTATTTTTTTATATATATACGAGTTGAAACCAATTCAGACTCACCTTAGTCCATTCTAGGATGCAGTCAAAACAGAAGTAGTGCTCACAGTTCTCTGGTGTTGCAACAGGTTGGCTACTGAATGAGTTCAGGCAGATGGGACACTTTTCTCTGTCCTCATCTGAGCTCATCTCTGCAAAGTCAGCAAAACTTCCTCCAAGGGTTCCTTTCCCTGACTTAGCATCTTCCTCCTCTTCATTATCTACGAAAAAAACAACAACACCATTTTTTTTTTTATAGCATAGCAAAAACTATATTCACAGAGGATACAACAAAATAACTTCAGCAGAAAGAGAAATTCTCAAACTACACCATGGGTGTGTATCCCATCCATATCCACAGAGAAAATCAAGGACTGTGTCCATTACCATCTTCTTCCTCACTATCTTCCTCCTCATCGTCTTCTCCATTTGCAGTGTGTTCTTCTTCATCGTCACCACTATCAGAGTCTTCCTCTTCAGATTCCTCGTCGAGATTATCTGAATCATCTATAAAACATATAGCGATAATTCAATTAAAGAAGTAACAATAGATATAAAAGCTAAAAGAATCTGAAATAAATTGAAGGTAAACTAATTTAAAGAAATCACCTGAGATAGCCCATAATGCAGCTCTTTTTCCTTTGCTGTGAGATGAACTGCGGTTAATCAGCTCATCTTGGCTGTCGTCTTCATCCATGGCTGATCATCAAAACAACAGCACAGAAACTTCTCTAATGTCTAAAATTAAAGAAATTATGTAAATGAATGAATTTTTTCATTACTATGTTAATGCTAATTTGAGAAACTGACCCAATGCTACTTTGAAATTGGACAGTCAAGTGGTTTGAAGTGAGGTAGGTGGAGTTTCACTCCATTTCCAAAAGCACATACACTTGATAACTCGGTCACATTCAGCTCAGGAAGCGAATGTGAGCAGAGCCACATGGCTGAATTCATTAGCCATGTGGCTGATGAATTCATAGTGGGCTCATGTGGATGTTCAGATTAAAATGTTGTCTGTAGTTATTAAATTCATTCATGTAATGAATGAATTTAATAATTCATTCATTACATGAATGAATAGCGAAGTCTTGTACATTTCAAATATTGAACAGAACATGAGCTCTAGCAGTTTAAATAACAATTTTACACATCTTTCATACTTAAAGGGACCCCTACCAAGGCCTGTCACAATAAACAATAAATCAATTAATCTCACAGCAAGCTCAATTTCTATTTGAATGCTTTATCATTATCTCTTTCTACCAAAAACCGGAAAACAAATTTCTTCTGTCTGGTGTTGAGTTTAGTTGAGTTTTGGTCTCAACTATACCATGTGTATATTTTACATGTTCTGTTTTATTTTTATGATTATACTGGTAAAAATCTAAGAATACTCCTACTAAGGGTTAAATAAAAAATATCAATTCTTCTGTATTTACACAGGAAAGGTAACTAAAAGGAAAACAAAACGTAAAAAACGAAAGTTAAATTTTAATCTCAAATCGCCCTGCAAAAAAATCATGCCATTTTCTGTCTTTACTCTTTCATTTGAAGTCTTTCCACCTATTTATGACAGCTAAAAACAAAACTTCCATAATCTGATTCCTCAGCAGTATTTCCTCTCCATCAACTAGTCAAAGATTGGAACCATTTTCATTCTAAATATTATTACTGAAGGTCACTACTTCACGTTTAAGAGCTAACCAACAGTAGCATTATGCAAATGCTACATTTGTAAACAAAGAACAAAATTCATGACAAAATAGTATTTTTCAGCAGTTTTCAGATTAAGTAAATATACAACGGAAATGTGGATATTGCCGTTTCGTGTTTATCTCGTGACAAAAAATATGCCCAAATTTTATATGAGTCTTTTTTCAAGAAATGACGCTAGCTAGTAAAATTAGCTTCAGTGTAGCTTGTCAGCTAGCCTCGGAGAAGCTAAAATTAGCGAACATTAACCACTAGCCCGCTTACACTCTGAGCGAAAACCAGTCATTGTGTGGAGTTTTTTGCGTAACATTAAACCTGCTTTCATGCACCTATCATTGCACGCAGAATCATTTATTTATATTCTTAAACCTACCCTATTCAGTAGAGAAAGATATGTTCATATAGGTTTGAAGTCTCCACTGTTGGTGAGTGACACCACCGGCTGGCGAAAGACGGAAATTACCGAGTGAACTTCGACATATGGGATTCTTAAAGAGACCGCGCACGTTAAAAAAGCTCCTCAGTTTATGAATCAACACAAGAGATGCTGCATTCACGGTTATAAAACTGTTTGTTTAGTGTAACAGAGTTCAAAACAAATTATGTGTGATTTAGTGAAGCTAAACAAATCAAAGTACTGTAAAGGATACCCAGGGGAAAAAAAACAATATGGACGTTTACTATTCCCTGATCTACAAAAAGACTCAAAATGACATAAATATGAAATGCATGTGTGCTTTTAGTCATTTTTGTTAATGCAAGTGCACATATCTGCTAATAAAGTTCTAATAAGTTTTAAGGAAATCCAATTAAGGAAGGTCAGTACTACAGGGCAAACTTTTCTCTGAAAATAGACTTGTAACTGCACATTGTGATTGGTATTCACTGAAGTTCATTAAACAAGGGAGCAAAGAAAGCACAAATTCGGCAGCAGAAAACCCTACTCTTATCTTTCATAAGTAGTTTCTGAAAACGTTCAGAAGTTTGTTTTACCGTTATCTGGTAAAATAATTGCTGAATAGGCTCTTAAAAACCTGAGATTGCTGACAGCAAAATATCAATCCCAAAGTCAATATTTTGCTCCCAACCTAAACTTTTGTTAGTCAATGAGTCTTTGAACATACTTTTTTAAGAGAGCGGGATAAATCGCCCTCTAGTGGCTCGAAAAAAAAAGAGACAAAAATCAACTGTTACATAACAAAATGTCTATTCTTGGTTTGACCTTAGGTCAATATATCCTAACAGAGATGATTCTTCTTCTTGTTGTTATTATTATTATTATTATTATTATTATTACTCATTGATGATGATAATAATAATAATAATAATAATAATAATAATAATAATAATAATAATAATAATAATAATATGTTAAAGAAAGTTATTTAGAATAATTGCTTGAAGCTTGACTCAGTTTCAGACATCTTAACGTTGATCTTGTGACGTTCAGGTGTAAATGTCTGGAACGTTATTTCATTTGTACCTATCAAAACTATTATGATGTTGCACAATGTGTTAATAATGTCAGCTCTCGTTCCTTAAATAATTGAGCGCTCCCTGTCCTCCCTTCCTCTCCGTCATCATCATCATCATCAGATCAGACTGTCATGCAGCATCCTTGGTACGTGCACAGCCACACTCCGCTCATGGCAACACAGTACACAAAGTAAGCCGAGTTCAACCACTCCACACCGGAGGGGTCGGACCGCTCTCAATCTAAACGGGCTTTAAACCCACACTGACCGTCTCGAATGGCCGCTGCCTCCTAACGGGGTGTTTACTTAAGGCTAAAGGAACCTTTAGAGTAAAGAGCTGCTTCACTAATATGAAGCGAGGCACGGAACTGTTAACAGAATAATGGTTTATTCCTGAAGTACGACGTGCAGAACTGAACGCGCCGCACCCCAACTACAACTCGGACAATCGAGCGAACGTGCTGCTCTTGAACATCCCGCCCATCGAGCTCCAGATATGTCAATGATTAACAAGAGGCGGTGCGCGCGACTGCAGCGCGGCCTCCGATTGGCCGAGCGGGATGCCAGTTCGCTGTACATTTGCATAACCAGGTCGGGTTGCAGATGCATGGGAGTGGGCAGAGCGGGGGTAATGCAAGTGAACTGAACTTCTGCGGCGGTGTAGGCTTTAGAATGTGCCTAAATGCGGCCAACTTTAATCTCGCGCTGAGATTCCTTTAATAATGAAAGAAAAAAAAAATCATTTTGAAAATACGGATATTAAATATCACAACGATGGAGCAGGAATTCAACTTTTTTTTTTTAAATTTTTCCTAAAAATATCTTAAAAGAAAACTTGGGATTGGTGAGTACCGCTACATTTTTAATGAACATGCAGTCATAGATGTGATACATTAATCACCGTGTAATTTTGTTGGAAATGTCTTTATTTTGTGTTTTCTATAACAATGTGTGAGAATGAAACTTTCTTTTCACCGTTTAGAAACAGTGTGATGTGAACTATATGGTAATGTGCTGACTGATCCACAGATCATGAACAGGAAGTTGAATCTCATGTCACTCTGATGATATCACTATTACCTGGATAGAATATACATATATATATTTATAACAAATATAGACTTCTCTTGTTTTATTCAGTTGTATGACATTGCATGCTGAAATGATTGCTTTTGACCACCTGATTCATCAGTGAATGATGATACAGTATCTCTTTATGCTCTGCAGAGTGTGTGAGGCGAAACACTGTCACCATAACCTCTGAGATCTGAAAGCAGGTAAGCCACTGACTAACGCACATTGTGCCAGTTGCCAGTTCCACTGTGCGTGTGACAGCGGCTAACCTGGTTTTGGGAATGCCGCTCACTCCGCCTCGCCTTCAGCCAGACCAGCTTCAGCCAGAGGAGGCAGACACCTCTATGTACATGCTGTTCTTGATCATGTCCTGTGCGCTGCTGGGAAAGGCCCGAGCCACTCGAATGCCCTCCCAGTGGTTTCCACTTGCACTGAAGCCAACTTCCTCCTGTGTGGACATACCTTATTTAGGACCCAGGTGGTTATTGCTTTGCCTTCCCAGATTACCTTTTGCCACCACCACTGTTGGTGAGTTTCGTTTCAGTTTTTTTTTTTTTTCTCCATAATTGTGGGATTGATCAGTTTTCTTCTCAGCAGTGACAAGTTTGGGGTCTCTGGGTCTCCAGAAGGCGAGGTTATCGTTATGCCGAAGGTTTTGATACGAGCGATCTGGGTTTTTGTCCAGGGCAGGGACAATGTGAAGAGGGACAATGCTCAAAAATTAGATTGATGTCCAATTCTTGTTATGCGATTCTGTGGTAATGAAGGGGTTATGTCAATGTTTTCTTCTTTTGATGAATCAGGAATTTCTGGTATCATTTTTAGTACCAGAAATACAAAATATTTCTGGCGCAAAAGACAGTTTAGTCCAAAAATTTTTTCTTGCTCTGAACATTGATTCTGTCAGGCCCAATTTGAAATTTGTCAAAACCTCTTTTTTTTTTTTTTGGAAACATTTTAAAACATTGTTTTTAATACTTCCATGACATGACAAATTGCCTAATTTGAGACACAGTCTAAACTTTAGACTGTGTCTCAAATTAGGCGATTTAGACTCTAAAGGCACGAATCTGGACTGAATCTACGTACAGTTTCTTTAAAGCAGACTTTGTGGGGGCAACACGAGGTGCAGCGGTATGGCGGGCCCGTGTGAAGAAGCCGTCAGGCTTCGGCACAGCCGTGCGGGGTTCAACTCCTGACCTCAGGAGCTTCGCTGGAAGTTTTCCTCTTCTTTCGCTTCCCCATCTTGTCTGAATTCTCCAAATGAAGACCACTGATGACATTTATATTGATTTTTGTAAAAGAGTAGCGTTTTCACAAAATATATCTAAATCTCTTTAAAATGTATCAGTCGGGACCATCTGAGATCCAATCAATGTTCTTTGACTCTTGATGCTCTAAAGTATAATAGTATACATTTTTTGCGTGTGTTGGGGAAGTAGGAGCTTGCCCAAGGTGGCGTCCATGTTTGTTCCACAAAACTGCTGAAGTTGACTTCAGAATGTAGTGTTTTCTTTTCTTACTTTTGAATTTATGTAAGTAATAATCACCTAATTAAAGAGCAACGTGCATAAAATGTATTTGTATGTGTATGAAGCGAGAAGTAAAGTTGTGACTTAAATCCTTTGTTTGCCTAATCGCTGCTCGATTTGTCTTGTTATGTGGAGCATATCTTCACATGATTTTTAAAAAATAATTTTTTATTTCCACCTCATCTGTACATGATGAGTCATTGTGACACAGAGGAAAAAGACAAGAAGAGCGTGTCTCGCAGGCTCTTTAACTTGAGCTGCCTGTCAACGTCATCATTGATACGGGACGTGCAGACGCTCACCCTCGTCTTCATCGAGAAGATTGCTCTTCCAGATGCTCAGTTTGATCAGTTTTCAGTGAGAAAAAGATCACGCAAAATGCTACGTTAAACTCCCAACACACAGAACTCTGAAAAATCTTTAGAGTCCGGTTTTGGATCATCGTGGGAGTTTTAGCTGTCTGGGTTCAATTTAAATGAGAAATATTGAAAAGTTCCTCTTATTAATAAAGTAAAATTCTAATCTAAGCTTAAGGTCAAATAATGCATTTTGCTCTAGTATCCCTCAATATCAGTGGGGAATGATGAATTTAAGTTTTGTAGTGTAATATACTTGTGTAATATTCTCCATGTCCACTAGAGGGCGGTAGTGTACCACACGGCTTTGGGCTTGTCCAGACAGCGGGAACAAAACAAGGATTTGAAGCTTATCTAACCCTTACAAAGCCAGACAGTTCTAAATCTGCTCATTATAATCCAATTCTGCATAGTGGATCATTGTATCAAAATTTTTGGTGTCATGGTGTCAAGCTATAAACATTGAAATGCGCAGGGGTGTGGGGTGATTTTAAGACAAAGATGAGAAGAAAGAAAGCTTGAAAAATGATGTACCTGCCCCGGGATGGCAGAGGGTATTTTTAGAAGCCTACAGGGTATCAATCCGGGGTCAGCCAGAGCACATGGGGAGGCCTACGTCACTCAGACTGTGACAGACAGCAAATTTGGTCTCCAAGGTAAACAAACAGCAACTGGATGGAGGACTAAAGTGGAGAGCAGGACCTTAGTGGATGTGTGTTTACCATGAAGATTTATCTTCACTGGAGATAAGCTGTGTAGCGGGACGGATTTATTTCATTGTTGGTTTACTTAGGATTATTATACAAATACAAAAACTGAATAGCATATAGTTAGATAGGTTTTTTTTTAGGGTATTTCTTCAACTCTGCTGAAACTTGTGTCCATTTGTCCTTGCAAAACAACTCAAGCTGAGACAGATTCTCAACTCAATTCAGCTGTACTGCAGACATATTCTCACATATAACTAAATTGTTGTAGCTCTGGCTTTATATTGAGGGTCAATGTCCTCACGGACGGTGAAGCTCTGCCACAATGTCAAATCTTCTGCAGCTTCTAGCAGTTTTCCTTCCTGGATCGTCCTTAATATGCCTTAATCATATCTTGTGGGGGGAAAAAAAAGTTACCTGACCAGAGCTCCTCCTTTTTCCCTCATGTTTACTGTGAAGTCTTTGTGGCAAACCTTCAGTCAGACTTCCTATGGCTTTCATTCAACATGATTTCCACTGTACAATGCTTCTAGACAGGACAGATTTCTGCATCATTAACAGCAATCCTGTCTCCTACCTAAATCTCCACAGTTCCTCCAGCTACCGAGGCCTAGTGGCCTCATCTCATAGTAAGAGTAACTTGTTCAGGGTTTTCTTTGTTAAAAAAAAGAAAGAAAAAAAGAAAAAGAAATTACAAACTTGTGAGTCAACTGCTTACTGCAAGGATTTCAAATGCACAGTTTTCAAATAGAGCTTCCTATAATTTCATATAGAAGATTGTGTCTAAAAAAAATAAGCCGACAAAAAGATATCTAAAACATTATTCACATTTTATTATTTAAATAGTCATAGTAATAATCTCTATTGGTCAAAGGTTCCTAAATTACTTTACATTTCATACAGATACTTTGAAATGTTTACAGTAGCAAAATGTTGTAAATATATCTTTCTTATTTATATAAAGTACTTGTAAGGTAAATTAATAATGAATGGAAATGTTAGGAAGCAAAAGGGGTTAAACAGGAGGTGATGGAGACAGAAAAGTGAACAACTTTCCCTTGGCCCTGCTGTCCGTGTTTTATCTCCATGTCGACTCTCGGGATGTCAGGACTGCAAGACACAAAAACAGGTGGGGGATGATGATACCTTTATTTTTTTCTTCTTCTTTTTAAGGGGATGGAGGAGGGTTGGTGAAACATTTTCAGCTAGAAAACATCCTTCCCTGCAGGTACACACACACACACACCTCCAGGGAATACAGTCTGACACAGGATCGGTTTCTATTTCATTTGCCCACAGATCTTGGGTATTACTTGAGGTTCGTGGTCAAAAAAATGAATTTGAACACAAGTGAATATAAAAAAATGTCTAATAAAAAGGATATAGGCATGTATCTCTTCTCAAAGAAAAATAACACTGCATATGTGAAGGAAATGCACACAAGACACACAACAGTTTGACCAATCAGGATATTAGGAGGATTTGTCCTAAAGTCCTAAATGCTTTGAAACAGTTTATAAATCTGAATTATAGTGTATGAATTTCAATAGTATTGACTGAAACATTTTTATAATTGTTATTAGGGCACACGGTGCCTTGGAGAAGTATTCATACTCTTGGAACTTTTCCACTTTTTGTCAGAGTACAACCACAAACTCCACACTCAATGCAAAGTAGCACATAACTGCAGAGAGGAAGGAAAATGATTGTTATAAATACATAGCTGAAGATGTGGAGTGGATAGCATTCAGTCCTCTGTGTAAAATCATGTGCAGTTTGATAAGGTTTGGTCTTTCATTAGGCTTGTCAAACATGTGACTACGTGTATTCTATGTGCGTATGATTAAGACCGTTCCTGTGATGGACTGTTGACCTGTCCAGGGTGTACCCCGCCTCTCGCCCGTTGACAGCTGGAGATAAGCACCAGGACCCGTCCCCCCCCTAATGGGATACCTCATCTCATCAACTCAAACGCCTTGTTTCCACACAGCGGTGCATCCATGCCCTATTGTCTGTTTCCAAAATAAAGGTGTCCCACAACACACCATTCGTTGACCATCGGCAGTTGTTGGACCATCGGCATATTTAGGACAGAGACACAGGCTCCTAAATATGTTGGACTATAAAAAAGTGTTCAGAACTCAGTGGAAATGATCCATAAGTAATTTCCCTTTTCTTAATGAAAAAAAAGCCTCATCATTGAAGTTTGTGGTTGAAACCTTACAAAATATGAAAAATTCAGTGAGTACAAATCCATTTACAATGCACTGCACATTAATTAGCTTTATTCTACAGCACCATGCGGCACATTGCAAGTTCTGGAAGGTCAAACTGTGGGTGTGAAGACAGCACAAGAACCAGGCACATCGGGCCCAGAGCAAGGAACAGAAGAAGCATCTCAACAAACCCAGGCCTGTGGCTCTACATCGGAAATGTATTTTTTTTTTTAAACAAGGATCTTGGTAAAAATAGACAATCCTTAAAAAAGTCTTCAGTAAGGGGTCCAAAAAGATATCAATACATTTCTCTGTAAGCACACAAGGCCCAAAGCTTTACACAGGAGGGGAACTGTGAAAGGCTCTTGCTCTTTGAAAATCAAGCATCATCAAAGTACAAGGCATTGTGCAAATACATGCTCCCACATGTAAATGAATGGTACTCATAAATAAAAAGGTAAACTGAAACTGTTTTGGCCCAGATTTTTTTTCCACATCAAAGTTAAAAACAAATCCACAATCAGAACGTCTGGCACAGTAAAATGCAGTGTGATCTATAAGTTACATGGAGATACAGGGAAGAGCAGCTGCTGGGAGTTGATTTTTGATTTGAGAGGGGGGAAGGCCACTTGGAATTACAAAAGGAGAGGATTAGCAGCAAATCCCAAAATGCATTAAAGAAAAACTGAAGCGGTTATGGTTAGTCCAGAAGCAAATAGTGTGAGGCAAGGAGGACATGGAAGTGCAGAGAAGATAAACCCTGGAGAATCTAAGCATAAAAGGACGAGAGAAACATATAAAAAAGGAAGGTGGAGGACTGCAAAGAATGCAAAAGGCGAGGGACAGGACTAAGAGAAAGCTGTTAAACAGAAGCCTCTTATCCTGCAATGGTTGAGCAAAGGGAAGGTAAGAAGTGGAAGAGACCACCAGTGCACAGATGGTTTAAGAATCAAACACCATTATTGAAAGCAGCCGCTTTAAGCCCAAGAAAGCTGGAGTAGATATGAGGGTGAGGGGCTCTGGGACCAGGGGATGGAGACGTGGGAAGCAGCAGGGTCTCACACATACACACCCTCAGGGTTGAGACTGGACACTAGAGGGTTTTGCAGGTTCCGCGGATGTCCTAGAAACTGCTTGGCCGTCGGACGAGATGGAAATTCCACGGGAGTCGCACTGCGACCTGAAGGGAAAAAAAGAAAAGTCTTCAGTAAATGGCCAACTTGTCTTATATACAGAATGTGTGGCATCCATACTACCTGCTGCCAATTCCAGCTGTTCAAGCTGTTCCTGCAGCTCGGTGCGCGAGTGGCTATGAGCCGGCACGGTGCCTGTCTGCTGGATAAACTGCTGCAGATTACACTGCCTCAGCTCCTTATTCAGATCCTCCAGCTCATTCTGCTTAGCCTGATTGGTAAAGGTGGAGAAAAATCAAATGTGACTGGCCTGTCGTTGTGTTAAGCATGAAGATATATATATATATTTTTTTTTTTTTTCTGGGTCATTTTGATTTCTTAACCAGTATTAAAAAAGTAATGCTTCCAGCATTTACCACAAGAGGGCGGCAGACTCTACACATCTAAACGAGTCACCGATGCAGATTACTGCTTATCAGGTAATTATTAGTCCATTAAACGGAGCCATATAGCTGCCTGATTTCATCAGATCAACACAACATGACGCATATTTACACATCAATGCGATGTTTATCAACCAACATTACTGAAAATGTAAAGTTCTGAGCTTATTGTTGAATAACAGACAACTTCCTGCTTACAAAATGAACTTTAATGCACACAAGCAGAGTCTGCTTTAATTGAGTAAAACAAAGCATGCATCTGCAGGACATTCCTCCCTCTCACTTCGCTGGCCTATATGAGTGTGTGTATGTGTTTGGATAATTGATGTTGGACTGAGAGATCCTGCTGAGGCAGTTCACACCTGCAGGTCTGCCTCCATTAGCCCGATGATAGGAACGCTGTGCTCATCACCGGCAACATTTTAACGCTCTGCTGGCTGCCTCGGCCCATTCCGCTGACTGATGAGTGACACAAGATCTTTTTCATCAAAATGGACTCAGCCTTCTCCTACTAACATTTTAAGGAAGTGAAGGCTTCCTATTTTCTCTAGCAATTACTGTAGACATGGCAATATGTTGTTGTTGTTTTTGTCCTATACATGCAGTGCTGTTTGCTAGTACAATATCTGATGTTTTAACAACCTATATGAAATAAAAACTAATCTTTGTTAGTACCTGATTTACAGGTACCTTTGTAAATCAGGCGTAGAATACTGTGAAAGTCTATGACACACAGTTCCTCCTGGTCCTTTTAATTAAGCAGTAAATATGTCAGATTTTGCCTTGAAAGGCTCTCAGACTAAAAGTCAAATGAGTTTCCCATAACATAGTGGAAAAACTTCTGCTTCAAATTTCTGACAAAGACTCAATCTAACCATTCTCATTTCTGCTAAGCTATCATGAAGATGGAATTAATTTTTCCTTAATCCTTTGACCATCATACATTTTGGGAAAGCACATACAGTCAGGATAAAAAAAAAATAGGAATGAAATATCTCAAGAAGGGATGGCCAGTTATTGTATAGCTTATTGTTACCTAAAAAATTGTATTGAAGCAAGAAGAATGACTTATTGTAAAAACAATTAACTGTAATTGATGATGTTTAAGACTAAAAACTAACAGTAAGTTTGGGGTTGTTGTTTTTTCGGTGTTGGTTTCATGACAGCATCAACTGATGTCTTTATATTTTCAATTCAATTGAAAATATAAATAAGTAGCTTATTTGATAATATTTCTTGTAAGAGCAGTTTTTGTGAGGTTCTGATAAAATGAAAGCTATAATTAATCTATTTTTTAAACTATTACTTCACTATTACTATTACTTTTTAAATATCTTTTCACCATACCACACAAGGTTCATATTGTTTTTCCCAATGACTTTTTTCAGTAAATGTATTTCTGAGGTGGCCAATAATCTAAATAATATGAACATACAGTTAAATCTTAAAAAAGCAATAAATTAAACTATGTGTTAAAGGCAGGAATGTCACAGGGAGTAACTATAAAATGCACAAAAAAGGGAAGATGCAAAAAGACACAGAAAGCCAAGAATAACTGAGATCTGTCAATATTTACTAAGCAATTCTGCTCCATACCAGTGCAAATTGATGGCCTATTAAAAGGTTCGTCAATATTGAGGTGTTGCACAAAAAGTTTGTCATGAGAGGTTACAACAAAGAGCTCTCTCAAAGTATACAGAATTATCCAGTAAGAACCATTAAAGTCGCTATCTAATAGGGGAAGGAATATCATCCAAGCCTATACTAACCATGTTCCAATCTAGTTGACTTTGGCTCACTGCAAAGTTTCAAACAGGAGTAAAATAAAAAATAAAAACAATTAGATACGGACCACTGGCAGAAAAACCTGGAATTAACAGGTACAGTTTTTTAAATGATAACAAGAAATAATTCAGTCACTGCAGCGACTACACATAGAGAATGTATGCACATTGTGTAAGACTCCACTGGAGAAGCAAAATCACCTCAAAAATCGATGCAGAAAATTGAGACAGGCTGACAAACTCCTCAGAGAATTTAGGAATTTTTTTTTCCTGTGTGATTCCTCTTCGTTATTCATTAGTTCATTTAGAAACCCAAAAGATGTGTTGTTTCTGCTCTGAGGATTACATGGTTTATAAACAACATCTGGTGGTAATTTCATGAAAAGAGGCTCAAATATTGACATGTTCAATACATATTTTCTATGCTGCATGAGTACTGGGTTGGTTCTGGGTCTTGAGAAAGCTCAGTTTTGCCTTTAAGCCGGGTTAGGCTTTTATTAGGACACCTGTGCCAATGACTCAAAGTCAACAACTAAGACATTACTCAACAACATGTCAAGGTTAAGTAAATCCAATGAAAGGGGTTTTTCTAATCCAAATAAATTCTTTTTAATCCCATTTTCTATAGCCAGTACAACCTAAGGCACACACATGAAAATGTAGTGTAAACGACTTGAGTAATCATGAATTTGGAACCTGAATTTCATTCAATGTGATACCTGCCAAACCAGTTTAGCTTGAGTATAAATAAAACACGTCCATGAACAGGAAGATATGAGTATCTCATATTCGTGTCTGATATAACAATCAGCTTTTGTTCAGAATTCATATTTCTCTTTTTTGTCTATTCACTGCTATATGTCTGGAGCATTATGCAGGCAGGAGAGGGATACAGATTGATGTGAGGCAAAATGGGGAATATCTCAACCCCTTTGAATTTATAGTCCTTTTTCCAAAACCATGACCTCTCTCCTTACCTGCAGCACAGACTCTGCCTTCTCCAGGGCCTTGTCAGCTTCTGACACCTGCTCCTCAAAGTCAACCCCTTTCCTCTCCTGGATCCGTAGCTCTGCCTTCACAGCATCAAGTGACTCCTTGGCCCCGCTGGCTTTGCTTGCTGCCTGGCTCTCCCTCTGGATCTCCTGCTCCAGCTGGGCAGAGCGTACAGAGAAGTCATGCAGCCGTCGCCCACAGTCGTCCAGCTTGGCGTGCAGGTCCGTCAGCTTCCTTCTCATTTCTCGCTCTTTGTCCACCTCCACCTGAAGTTCCTCCTCCCAGTACTGCTCGTGGGTGAGCTCAGCATGGTTCCTTCGCATTGTTTGCTCCAAAGCATCAATCTCTTCTTGCAAGTGAGAGTCTGATACTGGTGAGGGGCTTGGAGAAGGACGTGGACGATACGGTGACTCCTTCTCTAGGACCTCAAGCTGGCCCTCTATGGCTCTCAGTCTCTCTTGTTGCTGAAGGATCTTTTTAAACACTTCCTCCTTAGATGATCCAATAGGAGTTGAGGGAGAATGTGGGGATACAGGGCTAGATGAGGGGGATGGTGAGACTCTTTGCTCTGATGAGTCCTTTGGAGACCTCTGAAATTGTTTGGGTTTGGTCTTTGGGGAAGTGGATGGCCCCAAGTTAAACGTTAGTGCTTTTTTAGGTTGGTTACGTTTCAGGGGCTCTGGCTCAGGATGTTTGGGCAGTTGAAGAGGAGACTGTCTTTCGTGTTTTGAACTAGGCCCATCACTGCTGCTAGGACCAGTACGCCGCAGGAAAAACTGAACCTCGTTGCCATGTTGGCCCAACTTGGCCAAAGACTCCAGGGGTCTCTCTGTAGCCAAAAGCTGCCTTTCAGTGTCCCTCAAACGTTGAATAAGAACATATCGACCAGTCTGACCTGGAAAAAAGACAAAAAGACAAGAGAGTTAAGCACAGCAGCATTATTATTTTACTAAACCCCTTCTGTATTAGAGGAAGATATACGATAACTTTTTATCTTGTAACAATTTTTGAGAAAGCCAAAAATTGCAAAGTTGAAGATCAGTCAGATTGGATGGAGTCTGTGAATGTGCAGTTCCAAAATGTTTTAAAATGTTTTCAGTTAGATTACATTTGGACTTTGAAAAGGCAATTTTATTGCGTTGATATGCTTTGATCAACATCCAACGTGACAAAGTATGTCCTCTGGTGTCAGTGTCTTGCATGTTTTAGATGTGTCTCAGATCCAACACAGATAGATCAAATGGTTGATTTACTTCTTCAATAAGCCATCAAGATCTACAGAAACCAGTTCAGTTAATGAATTACTTATTTGATTATGTTGTGTAAAGCGATGGAGATGCCTTAAGCATGCTGGACACAAGCACTTGAGAGTTGAAGTTGGTCACCTCTGATCTAATCCACTTTGTCGAAGTCCTGGTTGCACGTTTGGGTTGTTGTTCAGTAAGGTGAGTCTCTGCCCACAGTCACAAGTCTTTTGCAGTCCCTGAAAGATTTTCTTCCAGGATTTCTCTTGTATTTTTCTCCATCCACCAACTCTTACTAACCTGTCCCTAGTAGTCCATGGTAGTCATCTTACATGTTTTATCACAAGTAAGATGAGCTTAAGATAGTGAGTTGTACTAGTTTTCTGCAACACGTTGAGCATTATCTGATTCATACTGCATATAGTACACTGATAACAGTGCAGTTATATTTCTTTCAATGTGATTTGGAAAAACGAGTGTATACAACTTGCACAACAAGTGAAAAAAAAAATCAGATAAAGTAAAGTTTCCACAAGGATCTGGAAATTAGGGCAAACACTCCCCAATGACTTGGCAACAAGCTCACTCACAGAAGGAGGAGAGTCTAAATGCAGAGTGATGCTGTTTAATGCTGCTGCAGCGTGTGGCTAGCATTAAGCCGGAGGACACAGGGATGGACACCCTGCTGAAATCCAAGATCCAGTTAAGGACTTGATTCAGGTCAGTGAAGAGAGATAAAAAGCAAGAAAAACAGGATGTCTTCTCCCAGCATTATGAAATCACGATTTCATAATGCAGAAAAGGATTGTCTGATTGCAAAGGTTTTTAGATAAACTGTGAAAAAGGAGAAAAAAAATACACAAATGCAATATGCAACAAATTCTAGGAGGACAACAACTGTAGTGGCTGAAGTACTCACCAATGGCCTGTGCCAAAGCAATGACGACATCTTGGCAGGAAGTTTCTTGAGACAGCCCGCACACCACGCGCACCACTCCATCCACCCACACTTTGAGCTCCATCTTGGACCAAGCAGGACACGCTGAGCGGTTAGATGGTCCTCAAAGCAGATCAGCTCAGTTAGGCTTGTCACACTCTACCGAAGCATGACCCTCTGCAAAATAACACACAGCAGAGAGAGAGGTAAGTTAGCGTGACTGAATCAGTATCTTATGTCCTAAATGTAAGTGGCCAAAACAAACTAATATCACACTGTAATCTTGGTCCATCGTGTTACATAACTTGTTGACACCCTAAACAAACTGCACCAAAGGTCATCTATCACATACCGAACTACATCACAAATAGAATTTTATAGCAAGTTTATACACCAAACAGTACTGACGTCAAAATCCGACACGATGAATGAGATGAACAGACAGCGGCTTGCAAAATTCATCCCCCTTAAACAACTAAGTCATCCATAACTTGGAAACTATATATGGTAAAAATTTTTACAAACACAAAGTTGAAAGTGTGGTATGTATTTGTCCCATCAAGATTAAAAGTTTTCCAAACCACTTCACTGAAACTTTTGCTTCTTTTTGGAGCATAGCACAGGATGTGCCACTGTAGACACCAATTTTCTAATCCTGTTAATTTAGTTTAGGTCTGAACCACCCACACATAACTATGCTTTCATTTGCTTTATTGTTTTGGCTTTGGATACACATTGCCCTAGTCTCAAGCCTCCTCCAATCTGTAGCAGGTTTTCTATCAGAATTCCCCTCTATGTAGCTTCATTCACCAACTCTCACCACCACCATGTTTCACCTTGGGGCTGATGGGAATGTTCAAGATGATGCTTGTTTTCTGGCACACCGTGTTTAGTGCTGCTTCTTTAATTAATGCTTTCCTAGCTCTGTGTGTCACTTAACATTGAAGTTTATGTCTTCTATTTACTACATGACAGATTCAGCTGTGTTTTGTGGAAAGCTAAAAGCTTAGAATGTGGTTTTACACATCTAGACACCTCAGTGAACGTCCAAACAATCTGATCCCGTACATGTATACTGTGTTTACATGTATGGGAAGCTATCACAAGAGAGCTGTATGTATGCTGAGATTAAGTTACGCACAGGAGGACACTGTTTACTAAATAGGTGGCTTGGGAAAGCAGCTGGTTGGACAAAACTATGCAGGCAGACTGGTGTCGAAGTAAAGGGGGAATGCTTATCTTTTCATATTTTTCTTTCAAAACTCTCGAAAATTACAATTACTTTGTGTTGGTTCATGACATAAAATCACCACAACAGTCAAGGGAGATAAGTACTTTTGTGAGTTACTGTAGTTATAGGGTTGAAGACTATTGGCAAAGTAAACGTAGAGTGAGGCCAGATTGTGTTATATCTGAGTGCTTTGTTAATAGCCCTGACAGGAACTTGTAGACCTGTGAGCATAAATGCTGACCTGTAGCCACTTTAAATGCTTTGTTGCCTGCCTTCAAAGCTTTTATAATAGCTTGCTGCCAAGAGGAACTGACAGGAAGGGCACAGTCAGTCATGGCTGTTTTGGATGTGTGTGTTGAGAGTAGAAAACCACAGAAAGACAAGAATGTGTATGTGCACGCTGGATTCAACTAGCCTCAGCAGGACCAGAGCTGGATTCAAACTAACTTTCCAGACCTGAGCAGAAAAAAATATCATTATACCGCCTATATCCTGTCTGTGGGTACTTTAATAGCAATACTTCAAAACAAAACAATAAATCCTGTGAGCGCATTTAAAAAGTGAAGTGCTGCAGGCATTTTTCTCCTGAACTTGGCCTGGCATAGGATTTTTTTCTGTTCAGGTGGCTCAAAGAGAGCTCCTCAGCCAGTCAGACAGATGGTGTTCTCTTTCTGTCTCCCTGGTTCTCAATGGGAGGTGTTTTACTTTGAACGCCACCATTATCTTGCCCTTCATTCAAAGCGTGGCTCTGCTCCACTCGCTGCTCATTGGGAGCAGCTCCGGAGGAATGCACTGACTTCATCTTCCAGCCGGAAGAATTCCTGATTTCTTTAACAAAAGCCCTTAACCCCACCCCTGCTCCACTGCTGACCTGGTTACCCTGCACCACCATTGCTCTCCACTGTTTAGATGCCAAACAAAAAGTCTCCTGGGTAGCAATAAAGTACCTGATGTGGAAACTTTGCACGACACATCTCAATACGACGCCACGAACAGAACAAATAACAGTGTGACTCAAGAATTGAACCAGCAGAACGAGATCCTTGGGAAACAAGAAGGCGACATTAGTGGGTGATCACACACCAAAGGAATTTATTTGAGGGATGCAGGGGAAGGCACACTGTAAAAAAGGAACCTCAGGGGTTATCACATTAACAAAATATCATACTGTTAACTAAATAATTCCATGTTTGAGCCAAAAACATGATACAATCATGTTGCATAAACAAGATATTCCACAACTTCAACGTTTATAAAATTGAATCATGTTGAGAGAACATGATTCATTATAGTCAGACCGATCCTATGCTGAAGACCACGAGTGAGATCACGGGATATCACGCAAGTTCACGCAAGATTACGGGAAATCAGGGGATATCACGCGAGAATACGCGAGACAATTGGTTTCCTCTCGCAAATGGAATAAATGTATCAAGGTGAGATAACGTGATTGAATTACGTCAGCTAGATCTTCCGCCAAAAAAAAGAACGTCGGGGCGTATTACATTAACAAAAGAATATCATGTACCTTTCACTCAATAATGTTGGGTTTGAAGCGAAAACGTGATAAAATCATGTTGGATAAACAAGATATTCCACGACTTCACATTTATAAAATTGAATCATGTTGAGCTAACACGATTCATTATAGTCAGACTGATATTGTGCTGACGACAACGAGTGAGATCACGGGATATCACGCGAGAACACGCGAGACAATCGGTTTTTTTCTCTCAACTGGACTAATGTGATTGAATGACGTTATCTCAACTTGAATACATCTAATTAACATATATATACCCACCGCGGGTGTGTTCTTATCCTCTGAGCTCGGGTCCTCTACCAGAGGACCCGAGCTCTTGGTTGTGCCAAGATATATATATATAAGATATATATATATATATATATATATATATATATATATATATATATATATATATATATATATATATATATATATATATATATATATATATATATATATATATATATATATATATGTTTTTTTATTTTTTTATTCAATATTAATATTTGTCAAAGTTAATCTAATAAAAAAAACACAGTGACGTCAGTTCCAAAGCGCTATTGTGTCAGACTCATCTCCCGCTGAAGAGGATCCAGCGACATCAAGAGATTACGGAAAATCACGCGAGATAACTGGCTTGCACCTTGTTGGGTTTTTTCAAAGGCAGAGGGGAGATTCCTGGCGTGCATCTGCTTAATTTGAAGAAGGTAAGAGTCAAACTATTTTCATCTAAATCCATATAAAAATATGTAACTTAAAATTTCTCTACATTTGCACCATTTTCTACTTGTTCCATACTTGTGTCACATTATTTCATGTTCTGTAGATTAAGTCGGTTAGGTTAAGGCAGTTAGCTATATGTGATATCATTGGTAAGTTTACATTTATCGCCGCACCATGTTAGGTACATTCTGTGCGAAAAAACTCTGCAGAGCCATATGTAGTGTAAGGGTCACAAAGCTGCTGCCAGAGACACAAATGGACCCCAGAAATGTCACAGTTTTGCTCCTCCTGAGCTCCCTGGAGGTTTAGTGGATTTTTAACACACGGATCTAACATCAGTCTATTTCTAACTATTTTAATTCTATTTCAGTAATGTTACTATGGAGGTAAACGTAGATACACACTTTGGTACCTTTCTATCATCATCGAGATTCTTAATTAATTATGGTAATAAAAAGTCCTACATTTCAGTCGGTGAAACCTGCAGAAAGCATTGCTTTCTGAGCTTTGTTAAATGTTCCTAAAATACCTGTTAGTTATGGATTTCTAGTATATTTTGTCAGGCTAAAACTCTCAATGGATTATCCATTATTACAGACTTGAGCTTTCTATTTTTTTTCTTTAAAATACATATTCCTCTGCTGTAAAGATGTTGGTTTTTTTTTGGACTCTTCTTTGTTGTCCCCAAATAATTGTAGCTCAGAAACAATATTGAAGTTCATTGGTTTAATTTGAAATGTTGATGTTTTTTGTGTTGATTGTGCTCATTTTGACCTTTGTTACTATTGCTTTCTACCATGTTCAATTCACCATTGTTCTGCACATATGTGCTTGCATGTGTCCAGTGGTTATATTCATGAGGCATTCAAGGGTCTTGTACTAAAAGATACAACTCAGTTCAGTATGAATTGCATATTTTAATGGCTGAAAATATATCTGATCTCTTTCAGAACATCACCTGATCACCTATCTGTAATCCACCTGCTTAAGTTCTGGTCAAGGGGCTCATCGGCTATCAAGTTATAGATTTCAGTGGCTAATAGTAAGTTTTGCCAGATCTAAAGTGACTGAATGTAGTGTTAGAGAGCTTATAAAGCTAGGGTTCAGCTAAACATTTATTTGGCCAGTCTGTTTTATTTGTCTTTATTTGCGTGGGGATGTGGAAATGTAAGGAGTGTAGTCTCTCTCTGTCTCGTAGATATGACCTGTTAAAACATTTTACACTTAAACACCGGCATATGCGATGTTACCCATGCCCACACATAGACTGTCCATGTACTTGTAAGACATGGAATGCTTTGCATATTCATTTAAGTAGAAGGATATAGACTGTGTTGACCATTCTGTACTTTTCACATATTTCTTTGGTGATATATTCATGTCTTTATTTAAACCTCTAACAGCTTCAGTTAGATGTTTAAATAAAATGTTAAACTCCATTTTAGTCATGGCATAATGAAGGGATACTAACAATTTTAAATATCTTTCAAACAGACTGCAAGTCACTGATCACTTTTGTTGTGACTTCCTTTGAATGCAGCTATGTTTTCAAGTGTGTGAACCTATACTGCTGGAGTTTTGAGATTGTTCTCATTGTTTTTTAATCTGCATATTTAGGAAGACACTGCTGAGGTCAGATGAGAGTGCATCCTCAAAGGTCTGTGTGTACCTAAATGAAGATCCAGAGAAGCTGGTGAG